ACAGCTCCTGCTTCCACCCAGGCTCAGACTAACCCAGTGTGAAGGATTATCACGTAGGAGGACCCTGTCTTCATTCCAGTTTGTGGCTGACTGAAATAATGGAAGAAACATGGTGTGTATTTATTGATTTTTTGAGTGTGATCTGTGGTTTCAGGAGTGTCTCCAGGGAGTCTTCCCTAAATTCACATTGGAGGTGATTTGGGGCATTCCTTCTATGACACTATCATTGTTTTATTCTCTCAGCTCCCAGATAACTTGTTACCTGGACTGCCTTCACTCAGCGGTGCTTGCTTGGATCAGCAGCCCAAAGAAAGTGTCCTTTAGCTTTGTATATGTGCATAGCAGCTAGTCATCGATGGGGAATCCCTGGAGCCAGCTCTGTGCTACAGGGTGATGCTGACCTAGCGGCAGTGGCACTGGCAAACCCCTATGTTAGCCTTGATGGCTGGGGACAAATCCACCCCTCTGTCCTGTCTGTGCCGGGTCTGCCCAGCCCTGGGGAGCTGCATCTCTGGAAAGCCACTTTTGTTTAACCACCCACACCTGGAACAAGGAGCCCACCTCCAGGTATCCCAGTCTGGAGTACTGGAGAGGAGTTTCCGTTCTGCGGAACTGCTCTGAGCTTGTGGGTTGTCTTGGCTGGTTAGGCCCCAAGGAAATCTTCTTTGCATTTCTTGCCACATGCACAAGGCTTTAGGGGTTCAACCCTCAGACTTCCCTGGCCCCTTTCTTTACCAGCAAGCACAGGGCTGCCGTATTCCTGCTGCTGTCCTGCATTGTTACCTGGCACAGCAGGCATCATCGCTTCCTGTTCCCAAGCTAAAGGTTTATTCACTCTCACTTTGTATGTACCATGCAGTCCAAAACAACTGCTGAAATACACTACTGGGGGCACAGCAGCTCAAGGGCTGTCGGCAGGCGATGGGTTATTTAGCAGTGTAAAAAGCCTCCAGGTCCCCAGAAATATTTAATCCCAAACCAGCACCAACAGTTGAAAGATCATGTTGGGCAACAGCAACATGACCATTTCCTAAGGAAGCTACCTTGAAATGCTGGCGGATGTAGCCCCTCACTCCCAGCTAAGCCAAACACAGTCCCCGAGACTTAATGTCCCCCCATGGGAGTCACAAGGCTGCAAGATCTCAGCAACAGTGATTGGTTCTTCAGTACTGTTTTTCACCACAAAGGTCAAAAACTGTTGATGCCCACCAATGCCAGACTTAGGCAACAAACATTTTGGCCCTGAAGGAAGCTGAAGTTAGACAGGAGGTTCAGAAACAAGTTGGGAAACGCCTGCTTGCACCAGCTGTTTTCCTCTGCAAGCTGCTGCATAGGGTAACATGGGGTTTAAGGGGTGACCAGCGGCTCTTCACACCTCTGCCTCCTTGGAGCTTCATTGGTGGGTTCATGTACCCTGGCACACAAAACAAATGCTTACAAAGCCAAGAGACCATGTGCTAGGTTGGAGCATGGTCTGCAGTGTCCAGAGTTTACTCTGTACAGTTGTAAATTATGTAGATGGATTATAAGTTATTTGTATAGCTGTCAGAGATGATCTGTATCAGAAGGTGCAATCCTTTTAATGCCAATTAAAAAAAAATTAGAAAAAAAACCCAGCAGAAACTGTCAGTTTGGTTGGGGTTGTATGTTTGCATGTGGCTGGGGCGGGTGGGGAATAAGCTGGTAAGAATAGAAAGACATCAGTGTCATTTGGCCCTCTATGGCTGATGTCTTCTCCTCCCCACATTGGGGTTACATGCAATGTTACACAGAAAGACTTCATGGGCAAAGAGCTCTTTTGTGAAGGGATGGGCAGAAATGGCTGAATTGCAGAAATGTGGAAGCAGTAGTCTATAATCCCCATGTTGGCTGCCCCTTGATTCCCCTCTGTACTGGTACGCTCTGTCCCTGCAGCCTGTTCCCCTCAAAGTCTGTCACTTCAAAGCACCCCATTCCCTTAGCGGGGCTAGCGCTTGGCTCAGCACACGTAGGCTTGGGCTGGGAAAGGGGTGAAACGCTGGCTTTCTCCAAGCATTCTCTAAAGCCCACTGAGCCTACTGACTGCAGGAGCTGCTCATTGATAGAGCAGAAACAGTTCATGAACTTGTGTTAATGAGTTAGCACATCTGTGAGAGAGAGAATTTCACAGGTTGTTTTATTTGCCCCTGGAAATTGTGGGCAGTTAATGCAGATCACAGAGCAACCATAGTACAGGGACAGTGTTCAGGTATACCCTGTACCCAGGAATTGCTGGCCTCAGAGCAGCTCCATCTTCTGCACAGAGTCTGGGTGAAATGCCTGGAGGAATGTGGCAGGTGGACCTCAAGGAGATAAGGGTGGACATCATTGCCTGGAGGCTGGGAGAGCACAGAAGCCTGAGTGTGGGGTGCATTCATAAATAAAAGATCCTGGAGGTAGGGCTTGCAGGCACAAACCCTTCTGGCGCAGCTGTGTTAGGGGTTTTACCTGGCAGGATCCTCCACCTCCCTCCAGCTTGTTGGAGAGACTCCCAGCCTTTCCAAGTCCCTCCTGAATACATGTATTTAAGCCATTATACCACGCTTGTCTTTGTTACATCAAAATGCCCCCAGCTCTCTGCATGCCCAGCTTGATGCCGAGCAGAGATGCAAACAGCTCGCCAGCGCACGGTGGCTGACACCGAGCTGGCTTGGCCAGGGTCCGCATGTGTCCCTGCTTAGTGGCTTGCTGTCTCACCCACAGTCCTGGCTGCGTCACGCCAGGTTTGGCTCCCAGGGTGAGTCACTGCCACCTCCTCCTGCACAAACCCGGACCAGCCCAGGCGGCAAGCAGGCCTTTGGCACTTGCAGGTAGTTAAGGCAATCCCCAGCCAGCTGCCTGTGAGCTCTGCATTCTGAACAACCTCCTCCTTCCATCACCTCTCCTGAAATAACACCTAGGACAACCTGAAAACACCCACTGGCTGTAAATTATTAAACACTTTGTGAAAAAAGAATACAAATCACCTCTTTTCCAGGGAGCATTCTGTACCGCAATTAAAAACTTCAGAGGCAGAACGAACCCAGCAATAAGTAGTCCTGGTATAGATCATTTTTACATACGGAAAGAAAATTAATCTCCCACCAGCTACATGTGAAAACCTACAGACTGATCGAGGGGGAGGACAATGCTGCATGGCCACTGTTAACGGTGGATCAATGTGTTTTTGTCGTACGACCTCTCCAGCAGCACCACTGCAAGGTGCCAGGAATAAATCAGTTCTAACAAACAGTGGTGTTTACAGCCCCATCCATATTTCATATCCCACCAGGGTGATTTCAGTAGCACTCTGCTCAGGCAGCTCTTCCCTTTTCTTGGCTGAATTCGCTGAGCCCTCCACAGGCACACAGTGTCCAGGCAGTCCTGCCTGCCTTTGCTCCACCACACTCAGAGGACAGACCATAAAGCCGGACAAAAGCAGCCTTCAAACACTGCTTGGATAAATGCAGAACAGGGGAAAAGCCCCTCTTAAAGGTGTTTCAAAACAAGGAAAATGCAATCTCCCCATGTCTTGCTTCGTGTTCATTAAAATTGAACCTCTGCTGGTTTCTGTGCCGCGCTACGCTGTTGGCATGTGTTTTCCGGGTGACCCCAGAAGCTGGAAACAACTCCATGGGATGTGGGTGTCATGGTGGCTCCTATGAACGCTGTTTGCATGAACACATGGCACGGCACGCAGAACAGCTGGCTACAAAGCACTGTAATAAAGCAGGATTATGAACACATCACTCAATGCATGGGAACAAAATCAAAGAGTCTGTGCTGAAAGAAGGGTATTCCCCATCATGAATGATGATTTAGGAGATCTGACTGCACTGAGCTTCTGAATTCAGTGGTTCATGAGCCTATTTTTACACATTTCCTTGCATCTTGCCCACTCTGCTGCAGCAGAGGCGTTGCCATGTCCGCCAGGACTTCTGGAGACCACCAGCAACTGAACAACTGTTCCCTTATGGAGACACATAGTGTAAGTGCTCAGCAGCCAGTCCTTCCTGAGCTCCACAGGGCTTGAAAGGAGAGGGGCAGAGCAAAGGTGTTAGCACAGAGCGGAGCTGTGAGCGGAGAGCTGTGGGGGTCGGGGGATGTAGCTGCAACCCTGGGGCAGCTGTCCTAAAGCAGCTTAAACCCTCAGGGTGTGAAATTCACTTGGGAACACTCTGGATAAGCTGAAAGCCAGGAGTGATGCAAAAGGGGACCGGTGCTTGCTGTGGGATTAGGATGTAAATTTGTTTTCTAATCTTCCTAGAAATAAGCCTTAACAGCCCTGGAGCCAGACTGGCTGACTTCTACAAGGGAGTTATGGGGTTAGATTACAGTCGCCTGTGATAAGAGGGGAGCGGATATGGCTGCTCATAAGATGGGCCCGTTACCTGTGAGCAGGCAGGGGAGGGACACTGCAGATGGTCGGGGATCCAGGCCAGCCCTGACAGTGATGGGGAGGGATGGAGGGAGCTCCGACGCCTGAGCAAAGTGTCTCAAACAAAACCCAGTGCCAGACATCGGCCTTATTCCCCTGCAGTGACCCGCTCCATTGCCTGTGCCGGGTCAGGATGTCCCTGCAGCGCAGGGCTGAAAGCAGGAGGGTTATTTTGCAGTGGTGTGGGCTGGGGAGTACCCAATGCCAGGGGGTTGCCTTGCTTGGAAACACATTGTAAGAAAAAGGGAAAGCATTTCCTCTCTGCTTTGTGACCAGCATGGAAGATCTTGGTTCTGAAAGTCCATCCTGACTCTGAAGAGTTTAGCTTTTTTTTTTTTCCACATATGGGGAAACACTGCAGCAAACAACATCTCCTTTTGGGACCTGAACCAAGTTGGAACATTCCCACCACCACTTCAGGGAAAAAAACCCAAACCAACATGTCCCTTATTTTGTGTGAGAGGCAGCAGAGCCGCTCTGCTCCTTCTAGCAGCAGCTGGGATGCTCTGGGACGAACCGCCTGGTGAGGGAAGGGGTGAGGGGAAAGACCTCGGAGCAGGCGACCATGGACATCCCACGGGCATCCGTGTCCTACCCCATGGCGGCCTGGGCCTCGATCTTACCCATGGTCTGCAAATCTCATTCCCTCCAGGAGAAGGATGAAAATAAATAATGTCAGGATCGAAAACAAACGTTAATCCGGACAGGAAGCATTAAATCTGAGTTCAATACTCAGGCTGGGGCTGACAGTCAGGTTTCGCAGGCCGCTGGCCCTGTAGCAAAGTCTTGCTCCCTGCCCGACGCCCCCCCCTCCCCCCAGAAAACCCTCCCGGCGTCGTGCACCAGGTGGGGCTCCTCGGCCGGGCCACGGCCCGCAGGACCCCCTTCTCCGCCGGGGCGGCCGGGGCTGAGGAGACCGGGGCTGAGGAGACCGGGGCTGAGGAGACCGGGG